TTCAATTGAACGACATAAAGCTCGGTTAGTTGCTAAAGGATACTTACAAGAATACGGTTTAGATTATGAAGAAACATTTTCTCCAGTAGTAAAATATACATCAATTCGCTCTCTCTTGGCAATCGCTAATCAGTTAGATTTGGACGTACACCAAATGGATGTTTCGACGGCATTTCTGAACGGCGAACTTAAAGAGGAAATATACATGAAGCAACCTGAAGGATATGAAAAAAAGGGACAAGAACAGAAGGTCTGTAAATTAAACAAAAGCATATATGGCTTTAAGCAATCTTCGCGATGCTGGTTCGATACCATTGATCAGTTCTTAAAGAAATCCGGTTACGTTCAATCCAATTCTGATCCGTGCCTGTACATTAAACGAAAGGGAGATAATATCATGCTTTTAGCGTTATACGTCGATGATTTGATTCTTGCAAGTAACAACAAGAAAATGCTAGAAGAGGAGAAAGGTATTTTAAAGAAACGCTTTGAAATGAAAGATCTAGGTGAAATTCATTTCTGTCTTGGCATTCAAATTCAACGAGACAGGGAAAAGAAACAAATGCGACTTCATCAATCAAAGTATTTGACGAATTTATTGAAGAGATTTGGAATGCAAGACTGCAAACCTGTTGCAACCCCCCGTTGAGCTCGGAACCAAGTTGTTGAATAATGAAGGAGAGCCAATGAACATAACCAAATATCAAGCATTAATTGGTGCATTAACGTATGCAGTTACAGCGACAAGACCAGACCTGGCACAAGCACTTTCAACAGTTAATCAATTCTGTGCTAACCCTAGCCAAAACCATTGGAATGCTGCCAAACGTATTTTACGTTACATTAAAGGTACGATTAACCACGGCATTTGCTTTGATGGACATAAGGAATCTGAAGTCAAATTAAGTGGATTTGTTGATGCTGATTGGGGATGTGATCCAAATAATCGAAAATCACATTCAGGATACCTATTCATGATTTGTGGTGGATTGATAAGTTGGGCAAGCAAAAAGCAAAGTATTGTAGCTCTCTCATCTACTGAAGCTGAGTATGTTGCAGCATCACAAGCATGTCAAGAAGCAATATGGTTAAGAGGATTACTACGTGATTTAAACTTCACTCAAAAGGAACCAACTATGATAAAAGAAGATAATCAAGGAGCAATAAGTTTGTCGAAGAATCAAAAATACCATCCAAGAACGAAACACATTGACATAAAATATCATTTCATTCGCGACAAAGTACTGAAGAAAGAAATTGCACTTGAGTATTGTACGTCACAACAAATGGTTGCTGATATGTTAACGAAACCATTAGGAAAAACTGTATTTCAACGAATGAGATCTAATATGGGAGTAACAAACATTTAAAGGAATAGTGATTTGTTTATATTTTTCGAAAGGGAGTGTTAAAATACGAACATTTAACGAAAAGATATAAACAATATAGTATTAAGTAGATATGACACATGTCATATTAAGTGACATACAGAACTTGTTATGGTAATATTGTTGTTCGCAGATACTCAATTTGTTATTTTGTTCATAATAAAAATCCTAATATTTCATACATTTTCCGAGCGTTATTGCAGAATCGCGAATAATTTAACAGACTTGACTCGCGAGTATCGAATGGCGAGTCAATTGCGAGTCACTCTCGGATGTAAGAAGTTTGCGAGTGAACAAAATAACTCGCTGTTTGCGAGTGAATCGAAATAACTCTCAAAAATTTCTTTCTCCAGTATTTGAAATTGACAAAAATAATCTTTAGTGTAGTGACAAGTAAAATCACACCATCCCATTCATTTTTGTCGACGTGAAGTCAATGAAATATTTTCGGAAGCCAATCTCCTATTTGAAGCATTTCTCCAGGCAAGTGAATCGCAACAGTTCTAGCCATTTACTATACACGTGGTCTTATATCGTTCTTGCTATTAAATGTCTATGGCCTTTATATCAATAGCGACTACATCCAAAACTCCAGGTCAACGAAGTTCTTTCAGAAACGAATTCAAAAGATTATACGTACACTCATCGCATAGCTACATTCCTTAAATATTTGGCTATAAAGAATATTCGTCTTTTTAATGCATTCTTTCCTAAGATTATATATGTCCATAATCTAAGACTGTTAGAAGAAAATGTTTGAGCGCTATTTCAATTTACTTATTGATTGCGTGCCATTTACTTTACATTTCTCTATGGTCTCTACCGCTTTACGAATAATGTTTGTGCCATGAAAAATGTGAAGTTATTAAAATGCTTTTGTAAAAAAATTCAAAAGATTTTAACGTCATTAGGTCCCGAAGTATTGCTTCAAATGAATAGTCGTTTTGCTCCCATGTTTCATAAAAAAGATATAAAACCGTTGCCTTCAAAATGTTGAACGAATTTTACTTGTCACTACACTTAAGATTATGTTTGTCAATTTCAAATACTTGAGAAAGAAATTTTTGCGAGTTATTTCGATTCACTCGTAATTGACTCGCGAATCACTCGTCCATTCGCCATTCGACACTCACGAGTCAAGTCATGTTACTTTTTGTAACCCTTTCTCACCTATCTAAACCCAGTGCAACTCTTTCTTACCTACTTAAACCATCAACACCCCAACATTAAGTTCACAAATAATAATGTTCTAACATTTGGTTAGAGTGACTAAATTCGAAGACTGACTACGCTACTGTATGTAAAGTTGGTTTTATTTGTTGCTTTTAGTGAAGTAATTTCGCGAACACCTTTTAACTAGCAAACACTAACATTATTATTTTATGTTTATTTTATTCTCAACCTGACAGTTTAGCCAACAAACACTAACATAATTATTTTATGTTTATTTTGTTTTCAACCTGACAGATCGAATACAGATTTGGGTGACCAGGATTGTGAATTAAGAATCGTCAAATGCATCAATATTCCACTTCCTTCAGGTAAATATGTCTTTTCTTCATTATTGTTGAATTGGTTTAAAATCTTTGTACTTAGGATTTAGGATAAAATATAGTGGATTAATAAGGTGTCTAGAGCAGGGGTCTCCAAACTTTACAGCCTGAGGGCCACATGAACTTTCATCCAGCTTGTTAAGGGCCGACAAATCGTATACCGCTGGTCAAAGAGCAAATATTTTAATAAAACGAAGTACATAACACAAGCTTCATTAGTTAAGAAAATATTTATTCAAAATTTAAAGGTTAAATTTCAACCAAGTGTAATATCATAACAAAATCACAATTAGTCTGTTCAGTTTTCTCAATGTGAGTGGTGAAATTGGCTTTCTTAAGTGTCTCTGCGGGCCGGATTGAGAGGCCCAACGGGCCGCATCTAGCCCGCGGGCCGTAGTTTGGCGACCCCTGGTCTAGAGGATTAGTAAGTGTCAGGTCAAACAATGGATGTTTGATCTGATACATACATCTATAAACCTTAAAAATCAATCTTTAAAAAATTTCAATATACTTCAAGGTTACTTCAAGGTTGCACAAGCTCGAGAGTTCTCACAAACGTCTCCGAGGTTTGCATAAGCCTGTGCAAACACGAAAAACATCTTTTATTCCTTTTATAAAATAACAATAATGTAAAAAATAACAAACATTTAACTTTTTCCTCTAAAATGTATTCATGATCGATTTGCAAATTCTTTTTGACTGACTATATGTTTTGATTGATTTGATTGGTTGAGCTCAGATGTGTTTTGCACAGGTTAATGCAAACTCGGCTCTAGACCAATCAGCGCACCTCTTTCATTGTGTTTATTTTATAAAAAAAATCACATTCACACTACAATGATTCACCAACATGACTGTGAATTGACATCTTTGTATGATTAGACGCAACGCAAGAGCGTACACTTGTGACAAACAATGGAAGCATTGTTAACAATTTTGTTAGACAATAAAATCATTGTTCAAGCAGTTGTTCTCATTACCGTTGAACAAATTCTATGTTTTGTAAACGACAGATTTTGCTCATGTAACAAACATTTTCTTACTTTTTTTAAATCGATGTTATTTGTCTACACTAAATTTTAAAATCACTCAACTTTAGGATCAACCTCAAACTGGCTTCACGGAAACCATCAAACACAACATTAATCCTAGTAAGTTTTATTCGAAATGAATGATATCATACAGCATTGGATCCCTGCATGATCTTGTATTGAGGGGTGAGTGAGGACTGGGGAGGAGTTACTTCACTATGGACCATTGGACTAAAATACGTGGAACGCTACCTCAAGCAAATAATTGAAGCCATATCTTACGCCAGACATGCGAGATTTTACTCCAGACACGCGTGTTTAGTGTTTCGAGATTCTCTTGCGGAGTAATAATTTATTGACTACACACGCGTGTCTTGGGCAAAGTCTCGCGTGTCTGGGGTTAAGTCACGGCTTCAAAAAATTATTAGGATTTTGTATTACAGGTAGCGTTCCATGTATTTTAGTTGAATGCTATGGACAGAATGTCGTGTTACTTAAGTACTCATGACGTCATTAATATCCTATGTTGTTGTTATTGGAGTGGCAAGGGGGACTGGGGAGAAGTATTTTTACAAGGGACAGAATGGTCGTTTTACTTCAGTTCTCGAGACGTCAATAATATCCAATGTTGTGGATGTAAGCTTTTTTGATATGCTAGAACCTTCCCTCCTCATTAAATTCATTATTCTACATCGATGATCAATTACGCTGTTTTTTCGTATAGAATTTCATCAAAAGTTTAAGATATCTATCGACAGAAAAAACCGATCGTTGACGAGAATATTTCGACGACAAAGTGTGAAATTTGAAATAAAATACAACAGGTTTGTCGTACGTGAGATGGATGTTTCATTGTTTTACATTATGTGAAATATTTTTTATCGTCAGTAAATGTTCAAACCATTTAGAGGATTTCTGAAAGGTGACAAGACGCTGGGTCAAGCTTCTCTTAAGTTATCACCGTTTGATAATAGATGTGAAATTCACGAATGTCTTAATGTAAGTAATGTGTGGTATTTTTTTAAACTTTGTGAATTAATAATTGCAGAAACTGTGTTTAAATCATTGAATTATATATAACTGGACGGCCACCCACCCGCTAAAATTTGAAGGCAACATTTCGGTAAGCTAAAATGCCGAACTATACGCGTATAGTATAAGCTTTGTACAAATATAGGTATGTTTACCCAATGTAGCATTTCAGACTTCACCATCTTCTTAATGTCTGCCACGTGATCTGTAAAGGCAGAAAAAGGACTGGAACTAGTTTTCCAGTTAGACCTCCATTATTTGATAAACACATCATACGTCAGTGCTGCCACTCTGTATATGCACATTTCACCTACCAAAACTTTATTTTTCCCCTATCTCCCCCTACGACCATTTTCTTTGTTTTGCCCTACTTTCCCCCTACACAACAACATATCCCCCTATTATATACCTACGTCGGGTCAGACCATTGAATTTTTTAGTCTGTTTTTAAAAAAATGCATACAAAAAAAGATTTATTGAAAACGAAGAACATCTAGACGACAAAGTTAGTAATTTGGCGTAGGAAGTAATGACATGCAGGTGGCGCAAATGACGCACTGAGTTTATCTAAGTTGCTGATCTTTTATTGCCATATATGGTCACAAAATGTGCCAAAAGAAAGATTCTGTTATAATCACTTGCTAAATGGTGAGAACACAGGAAGAAAAGAGTATTTTGGGCATAAATGAGGCTCATTTTTAAACGATTTTCTTTTCTCCCTACAATACCCCTACATTTTACAGTTTTCCCCGTAGGTTTCCCCTTACCACCTACGAACCACTAAATCCCCCTACTGTACGGAATTTCCCCTAGGAGTGGCAGCACTGTCATACATAATGTCACTTAAAATGCATGTTATCTCGATTCAAAATTTACGTACGTAAGAACGATTGCTGTCGTAAGTGGACTTAATTACAATTGCAGCTTATGGATCCCGAGAAAGGTCGCAAGGTGATTGGTGGAAAGATTGAAGTCAAATTACGTATTCGTGAACCTCTGACAGATAAAGATGTTGAAATCTTGACGCAAAAATGGTTGGTCATAGATGCATTTGTAGCACCAACAAATAAAGTGAGTATATAAAGTTAAGTTGTGTATAAATATATAGTTTTCACATTGTTGTGTTTGTTGCATTGAACTAAAATACATGAAACGTTACCTGAAGCAAATAATTGAAGCCAAATCTTACACCCAGACACGCGTGTTTAGTGTTTCGAGATTCTAAAAATTGATTGACTACAGACGCGTGTCTGCGTGTAAAATTTAGCTTCAAGAATTTATTAGACTTTTCTATTACAGGTAGCGTTCCAGATGTATTTTAGTTCAATGGTTTATAGCACGAAACCATGATTACGTTAGACTGAATAGTGGATTTTTTAAACTTATTAAAATGTTCTACGTACTGTATGCAATAATGAAACTGTCTTATATTGAAATGGACGTTTTAGTTTATCTATAAAACATTTGAAGTACATGAGCTATACTATAGGTAAATGTATCTTCTGGATAGAGAAACTCAAGGACATTTTTTCCTTTCCATATAACTGAGTCACGTGTCTCCTCATTCTCTCCCCTCCTTCGTATTTCGTTAAATGTTGACCGTTGCGTATTGGCTGTTATAAAATAGTTTGCAATTGGTTGTCTTTCTTAATTTTTTAGCCAATCAGTGCTTCGTCAACAAGTAAGGTATAAATCCTTTGATATGTATAATATATGGATAGCGCACCATGTATAAAATATATGAAAATTGAAGCCGGAAGTGTGCGCATTTGCTTATGACCTTCGTGGGGGGCTGTAGGACCCACTTTACTATACTTTTGTAGTAGAAAATCACAGTTTTCGCGTTTTTATTCCTTTTACAAAGCATTGATTGAAGCAAAATTTTTTATCAAGTGGACAAGAAGTCCGATAGAGAATTTCACCCCCTTAAGTTATGTTTTCTCGGCTTGTACAAGCTTATACATCCCATTTTCAGTAGCTATGCATGAACACGAATCAGATCTGATTTTTTCACTAGAAGCATCACTTCATGTTTTTTAAATGTCCAAGATCAACAAAAGCGATAGGAAACATATAAAGCGCATGAAAGCAGAAAATGATCGCATCGTCAATATATATTTAAAGAAATGTGGGGCATACACTCTGCACAACTTCACGTTAAATTTTTAACAATGAATACTATCCATATATTTACATATCAATCAGTTAATGGCAAAAAGTTTTCTATCTTCCTTTTTTCTTTGAAAGATCTGCGTCTTTCTGTGTTAATAATTTACTATTTTTAAACTCGGATTGTTTCTAAAATGATTCAAAAATGTTTTCTTTTTACAGCTTAAAAATACAGAAAATGGCAGAAAAACAAAGAATTCAAAGCAGTAAGTACATTAATTATCTTTTATTTTAGGCACTATATGATACCAAGTTATCACAGAAATAATCTAAATTTTTTATGAATAAACTAAAATTTTTAATACAACGTTAAATTATAAAGTAAACTATAATACAACTAAACATAATTTTTCTTTTCAGATTTTCTGTTTAGATCTAAAGTTTGTACGATTGAATAAAGATGCTCTTTAAAATTAATATATTTCAATAATATGAACAAAGTGTAAAAATCTTCTAATTTAGACTTTTTATATTTTGATATTTATTACGATATTTATTTCGTGTCATTTCAACAATAACTCTCATAAATGAAATTGTCGAATATTTATCTGGATTATTTCCTCGTAACTAATTTAAAATCCACAACATAAATAACTCGTGATTTTGTAATATGCTCTAAAGTAGTTAAGACTGTCTAAGGTCTAGTTCAAACGTCCAACTTTACATGAACCGAACGTATTTAAAACAAAAAATAATGAGGAAGTTCATCTCATTTTCTTTTGTCTTTAAGGTGTTTGGTTCATGTAAAGTTCGACCTTTGAAACAGGCCTTAAGTTCATTATACTTTTAGTAAAATCATAGTCTTAACTCGCGGCTGTTTACAATATAACACTATATACAAATAGCGATTTAAAAGGATGTATAACTCAATTTTTTTAACATGCCTTCAACACGCTGTGTTGTGCAAGATTGCAGTAATAAGTCTGATAGATATACCGGCATTTCATTACGTAAAAGCCCAAACGACGAGTCTTTGATAAGAATTTGGGTTAAATTTGTTCAAACGAAGCGCGCAAACTTTAATCCGAGTTCGCGCGAAATTCGATTTATGATTTGTTCGAATCACTTCTCGGATGATTGTTTTGAGCGTTTATTCCATTTGTATGGTATGACTAGACGGCTCAAACCTGGTGCCGTTTCTACTATTTGGAAGAAAAGAAATCGAATTCGTGTGATAAAAATTAATGCCCAACATAAAGTTCTGATTAGAGCCATAGAAATAGACAAAAAAAAAACAACAAATTGTAAAATTTAAATTTATTAATTTTTATCACACGAATTCGATTTCCGCTCGGCAAGTCACTCGCTACAATTTTAGAAAAGAAATCACAAACACCAACAATGTCAAGAGAACGGCGTCAGGTTAGCACAAGTTGCAATTATTATATACTTACACATATTGCAGATGATAAATTTTCACAATTTGATAGAACCAATAATACATCCAGGCAAACTTTCAATATATAATATACATTTATACTAAGGTTTTAAAGGAAATACAAAATGAAGTGTCTGTATCATGCGATGACCTTTGGTCTTTAAACCTAACGAAGCTGCTTGAAAAACAAATTCGTTCAGGCAAACTTCGTTAAAGCCAGGGTGATCCAAAATGCATTTCCTTTCATCGATTTCGAACTGATACATTTTACCACGGCATTGCTCTATTTCCATGCAGCATCGGCACTATTGAGGGTTGACAACAAGATCCAACGAACAATGGCCACATTCACACCTTTAAGGTGGTCATATACAAAAAATTGAATTTTTTTCATTTTTAAAGATAGTTATAAGAAACTATCAGTATTTGAAAGACTTTAATGAAGAGAATTAACTAATGGAAAAAAAAAATTAAAAAATCACTAATTACACTAATTATCCAACATGGCGGCCCCTAATTAGCCAATAAATGAACTTCGCTGCGAACATGATATCTTGGGAACCAATGATCCAAATTCAATGAGTAAAGTTTTTTTTAAAAGCTTAGAACATAATCTAGTGCTTGACACTTTTCAATTTTTTATTAATTCTTTATAAACAAAAATATATTCAAAAATTTGATTTTCTTCAGTAATTTTGCATTTTTGGTACACATTTTATGACATAACGAGTAAATATTTCATCAACAATGCAAAATATCAAAATTTGAAAATGTCAAGCACTAGATAATATTACTAGCCTTCAACATACAAAATTTCAGGCATCTCTGACAAATAACAAAGATAATATGATGTCACAAAGTTTTTCCTAAGTGCTAAAATCACCAAAATGAGAAAACAGCATTTAAAGTTTACATAACCTATATTGTACCTCTGGCAGCCCTAAAAATTGCCAGCTTCATAAGTAACTCCTTCCTTGTGTTTAGCATTGTCAATATAATTCTTTCTAATGTTTCTTAATGTTTTCTTTGCTTTTCACCTTCTCTGAACTCTTCTTTGCCGACAACTTTATCCGATGATGATCACATTCTTGAGCCCCTTTACTTGTAAACATTCCAGGAGTTATGTCCAGTTCACTCAATACCTTTAACAAATTTATGTCCCCATCATTAAATTTAAGAATAGCCAAGTATGTTGCAAGAGCAACAGTCTCTTGTTCAACATATGTAGTCTTCGGACATCGTTCCCATATCATATTATTTAGACATTCATTAACATTTTGAGTTAAGCCATGAGTACATTTGTTCAACAAAGTAGCATTGCTCAGTTCTTCAAATATGGGCTCAATGACCTTAACAATACATTCAGGAATGCCTATTCTGTGCTTGTAGTTGTCCTTTTCCCTCTTATAGCCACACCAACTGTCTTCACCATCAGGACAAAGATGATGCTGAGGATTAGTATCAGTTGATGCAACATGATAGAGAGAAGCTTTTATCGATTTTGCCATTTCCTTAACATCATGAAGGTTTCCTCTTACTGACAAACCATAATAATTTTGAAGAATATCAATCTTCCCATCTGTAAGCCTTCCTTTTCCACTCAATCCTTTACCGTCAAGCTTTACCCCTTTCGTTGTATTCTTCAACTTACGAAGACGACTCCCAACCCTCTTTTGAATGTGACCAATACACTCCAACTTTTTTGGAATGCACTCTTCTCCATATGGCTTTCTTTCAACAATAGCATTATATGTTGAAGAATCCCCGTCGCCAAGCATTTCCTTGTATTTCAGTCCTCTAGAAGCAAAAGACCTCTCGAAAATTCGCACAGCTCCAGAAGTCTCCATACTGCTAGCACTTCCTTCATGATTGATCTTGCACTGATGACCAGCTTTCCACTCGTTGTATTTAGGATCACTTGTCCTATTTTTCCATTTGGCACATTGCTGACACCTGTCTGAGAGCACTTCCACGTCTAAACACTTTTTGGTTTGCAAAGATATTGCCGTAACAACACCATTATGGGATGCATGGCCTCTCTTTGCCATGTACCATCCAAAGATATTCCACATTCTGGTGCTCCATTTTCCTCTTTAACATGCATAGCATTGCTGAGCATGCTGTCATTGGCCAGTTGTTCAACAACTGGTAATAGCTTTCCATTTTGAATCAATGTAAAGCTTCGGCAAGTTGGTGGTGGAGCCATATTCATGACCTTGTTGAATGTGACCATTGCAGCTTGCCCTCGACCAATTTCTCGAAATGCTAGGACTGCTCGGACATTAACTTCGTGTGAACAGCCTTGCTTTTTAGATGTGTGGAAACTATACTTCCACTCACATTCTTTATTCTTACATTGAAGAAGAATATAATGCGCATAGCCTTTCCTTTTCCTCAAGTCCACATGGGATTCCACACTGCTTTCGCAATCAGGGCATTTTAAAATTCATCAAAACACCAAACAGCAAAGACAAGTCCATAAACACGGTGCCTTCTTTTGCAGTGTGTAGATTATTAAAATTTGAGCCAATGCTCCTCGTTTGATGACTTATTTTCTTTGCAGAAGGTCCAGGGTTTGCGTCATCGTTTCCGCCATGTTTTGACTTCTTTGCCATTTTTGATGGCGGAGTTCTAACCGCTTTTCTCTTTCTATTTCGACTATTCCCCATTATTTTTCGCTTTGATTATTATCGGAATAACAAAAGGAAAGCTCCGAAATACTAACAAAAAGACTTTTCTCCTCAGAGATACAAAATTATAATGTTTTTTGAAGAGCAACTTTTCGAACTGTGCGAGCACGCGATCAGCTTTGATATGTAATTATAACAGTTACCATGGTGCCAAAATGCAACCAATCACGATGTAACTTAACGAGAAGGCTTTGAATAACATCCACCAAAAGTAGAAACAAAAAATTCGCTTTAGAAGGGGAGTTTTTGGGGTGAAATTTGGGTAAAAATCCGTTGCTAAGGCGTTGCTATGGACCAAAAACTTTAAGAAGACAACTTTGAAAGCATTTTTCGTGGGTAAATGATAGTTTTAACGAAAAACGATTAGAACAATCAGAAAAACCATAGCATAAAGTACCGATAATGATCAAAAAAAAATTTTGAGTTTTTAGAAAAAATAGTGCCTTAAATTTGTATATGACCACCTTAATATTGGCCAAATTGTATGTTTCCATAAAGTTATCATAGCTAACGGTAGACGATTCAGATCAAAGTAACACACTAAGAATGACATCTTACCATGAAGTAACATCAACACGGGCATCAAAACGATCTTGCAGCATGTCTTCAACCCGCCTTTCTTCTGCGACTGCAGCTTCGTACTCAGCAATTTCATCGGGCGAAGCAAGCGGTTCAATATTATCGACAAATGGCAAAATTTCCGAATTAGATTCGTTCGAATTTGCCGTCACAAATTCCGATGAAGAAATCGATGCGTTTGTCTCGATCGAAGACTCAGAGAGCGAGCTAGATCTCGATGAATTTGACATTTTTTTGCTCTATTTATTTATTATATTGTATACTTTCCCATGTGCGCTTCTTGTTGTGTTAAGACTAAGACGTCACAGACCTTTGCTGATTGCAAATATTCAAAATGGCCGATTTTAATGGCGGACATGAAAATTAGACATTTCAAATGTTCATAACTCCCTCGTTATATTATTATTTTTGCTTACATTTTACGAAAGCAATAATTGACATGTGTTTAAACTATTGAATGCTAAAATCGATGATTTTTTAACGTTAAGTTTTCGTCATAGAACCACTTTAAGAAATAAAAGATGTTTATTGTGGAAATGTTCAAACTGAGGAGTCCTTTGGGAGTACTCGAAAGCAGATCAGAGCAAAAACATCTTTATATTTCTTTTATAAAATAACAATAATTTAATAAAGATAAATTCAAAACAAAGGTTTTAATATTTCCTCTAACATGTATTCATGATTGATTTGCAAATACTCTTTGATGGATTTAATTGATGATCCTCAGCTATCAACCAATCAACGCAGGCGTTTTATTGTTTTTATGCAAATTAAAGTTGTTAGTTGTCATTCGGGGAAGAAAAAAATACGAACTTGATTTATTTCTTCCACTGTTATATATTAAAGTGAAATGAATAAGGAGTGTTTCGAGGAGAACACACTGAAAACTAAGATGAAAACCATTTTGAAGTAATTTATTATTATGGAATATAAGATTTCTAGTTGAATTTTCAGGCTTGCATTAGCTAGTTCTTGTGGAAAGGACCGCATGTAGTGCTCCTGTCATTACGAATAATTTATGTATGTAAAAGTTTTATCGTGACTTGGCATTCTTCACTTGCAGACTATTTAAGTTTTATAAGATATGCTAATTCTATATGTCAAGGAAATGCTAAATACAAACGAGAGGACGTAATTTCGGAGAGTTTAGATCAAATGGGTGAACTACAAATGTAAAAACAGCTGTCCATTTACTGAAATCCACTGTTTTTCATTAAAAATTTTTCTTGCATGGTAGCAACAGTTGCTAGTGGCATAACTAAATATTCGCCAACGAATAAGATTCGTTCAATTTCATCAACATTCCTTCTATCTTAGCAACCTGCAGTGTTTGACTGCGACTCTACGTCTGCTATGATAAGGAGCTTCACAAATTCTAAAAGCAATCACATTGAAGCAGATAGCATAATTTTTCTCAAGACTTTTTAGGGACTATTGGCAAATTTCTGATCTAAACAAGTTCGTCACTCCTCTCGACACAGGTACGTCTGATTTACACGAATTTTGCCATATATAAGTAGAGACGTTTGTTCAAAGAACAAATTTTTTAATTGTTTGGTTTCTGATGTCTGATAAAATGACAAACAAAGCGTTCAAAAATATACTGGCGATATTGCCAAAGTGATTCTTGTTGCTCTTATGATAGCTACTAAGTTCGTCTATTCTCACAGGATAAGATTCGTACCGTTTTAAATGTCACTATTTTCAGACATGGGATTTCTAGAGAAAAACTGCTTTGATGTGAGTCATAACAGGTCCCTGTTAGTGTTATATATTTTCTATTAACCAAACTTGTACTTAACCTTCTAAGGGCCATATGTAGTGAAATGCATCATAATTTAACTACTCCATGCGGTCTGCGTTAAAGAACTCGAGATTGACAAAGTTTTAGGCGGACACTCATAATGTGTGTAGCATCGTGTTGTGACTCTCTTGGGGCCAGATGTTTCCTCAATTAAGTTTCGTTTCGTAGTTATTGCTCGCGCAAGCAATGGCCACTAACAGGTTGAAAATTTCGCCATGGCGGTTGCTAAATGAAAATGCAGACATGCGAACAAATACCGAAAGGGAAGCTGTAAAGCAGCACATTTGTTTTTATGTAAAGGAAGTTTCTTGTTTGGTTCATTTTTAACCTTTTACTTTGTTCCCCGTTCGCTGATATATGTGCTTTAATTCCCCTAGTTATTACTGTATAGTAAGTCTACATTATTTAATCAATCTTAGCACAAATCTTCGAATAAGTTATTGTAACAAAAAACAATAAAAATGGCTGGCAGAAGTTTTAGCTAAGTAAAGGACCAATTACATGAAGCAATTTCAGCCCGGGCTAAGTTTCAGCCAGGGACGTTACAGTATCCTATCAAAATAGTGTACCTGACTACATGAGAACAATTCTATGTATTGTGCCAGGTGCATCGCTAGATCCGTTACTGGTATCCATCACGTTGTAGTTAGGACGGATTATAGCAAGTTCTTCTTTAAGTCGATGACCCTAGTTTTTCTTCTTCGTCAATTTCTCGCAAAATTGACTGCACATCATGTTTAGGAACTTATGTGGGTACACTTGTGTTTAACTGAAGTTTATGCCAAAGGAACAATATCCTTTTAATCAAACATGTGCGTCAACGAACTCCCTAATTTATCTCTCAAGGTCATCATAGTTGTAGTCAATATTTCGTTGATGGATTAATATCATGATTAACATTGACATTTAAAAGTTCTTTTGCGTTTGAGATTAACTGCAGAACAGCCTCTTCAAGCTCGAATACTTCAGTAAATCGCAACGTAGTATGGTAAAGAGAATCAATACGAAAAACGCAAAAAACGCAAAAATCCCGATCTGGACTTCCTTCGAGGTCAGCAATACAACCCAAAATAGAATTGTGAAGGAGTCTTACAAAGTATAACCTGTCTGCCATGTTTTAGGGTTGTAGACTTGTAGGTAAAACAATTAGTTTATTTTGTTTTCATTATTACCGCATGAAGAAAATAAATTATGAATAAATTATAATGTGATTGAGTAAAATTTGATGTTTTGCAAGTCACGAATAATGTTACGTCATCATAATGGAATGTTCAACAACAAAATGAGTTTTAACAGAAATTGTACAGGACAAAATCCGATTATGAAATTCCAGAATGGCATATGATCAAGACAAAATGCACATTGCAAAGGACAAAATACGCATTAGTAATTCAAAATATAGCTATTAATTTTGGGGGAGATCACCCTCCATAAGTTTGTGATAGAGCTTTTTGTTATCTTATGCTTCAAAAAATTCATTCGAATACCGAAATAAATATAAAAACAAGTCCTGTCCAAGTTTCCACATCATTGCCTTGAAGTCAATCATCTTTAGAAAATGAGTTGATGTAACTCAATTTCTCTTGCACAATTCACCACGACACGATGACCTTTGGCGTAATTTTATTTATATTTATAGGTTCTCGCATAATTTTGATTATAATTATCCGAGAGCCGATAAATTTAAATATAAAGCCGTCAATGTGTTCGTGAAATGCTAAGCCATACGGCTTCAGTTTATCTTACCCGTCGGCTTCAGTTTATATTACCAGGTGTATTTAGGGCGTGGATTCAAATACGTTCTTCTTATTAGTCTGTTTCCTCGTCGAGGTCTCGTTGCTTCAAGGTCGATTTCTTTGAGCTAAGTTTGAAAAGTCAAATAACGTACTAGCACGTTATACTTAGATTGCAAAAGCCTCCAAATAGCTCTATATCCAAGCATAATACCGCATTCATTGAGTTCTCGTAAAATATATTGTCTGATACGATCTTCATTAACAACATTCCTGCGTCAACGCAACACGTACAGTTTCAACTTATTTAAAAGAGAACTACTTGAATTAAAAATGCTATGGAATTTATTTAGTAAATTCAAAATAGTTTACTTCTTGTTGCGTTCGTGTATTTCTGTTTGTGTTGTGCTTCTGTGCATGCATAAAATAACATTTTATAAAGTTAAGTAATGGAAGGTGTTGTTTTTATGCAGTAAACGACCGTAGCATGTTGAAATTTAGAAAATATGGAAGGACGTTTGAAAACGTGAGACTCTATCGTTAGAGATTAGACTTTAAATTGGTATTGGTGAAACATAGTGTGTCTGTCGTAGACTCGTAGTGCAACACTTTGTTACTAACCAATGCTAACTCAGGGTTACGGATTAGCAACAATGAGATGGATGTTAGTAACGTTAGTAACGTCATGTTTTGAAAAAGTAACAAATGTTTAATTTATGCACGCCGCATGATCAATTACAAACGTGTAATGAATGAGTTAGTGGTCAAGAACTACTTGTATAAGAGTTTGTATGCACTTCGTTTACCAGAAGTAATCTCAACTTGAAGGTGTAAAATGACCACGACAAACAACATGGTACATGTGCCAATTTTTCAATCCGGGACGAAAATCCTAAAATTGACATCCCACCAAAATTGCAATGTCAACATAGTTCTAACTTTCAAAAACAAAAAGAAATAACTTTTGTAAAGTTCTTGACATGTTTTGTTTAGAAGGTTCACTTTAGGGGTGGTCATGGGAGGAAAAACTTTGCATAACATCAATATTTACTGAGAGAATTACTATGTACCATCTCTGGTCAAAAGTAAAGTTTGCATAAATTAACCAATATTCGTGGCAGAGATTGAATTTTCATATATTCAAAGAAAAATCACATGAGATGAAAAGAATATTTAACAACAGTATAGAGAACATACAGTAGAGCCACTCCATTGAATTTTTCTTGCCAGGCATATCTTATTACGCATGTGATTACCATAGTGGCAGCCAGTAAATTGCATTTTGTGACGAATAGGATTGACGATATGGCAAGCGGCAGCCAGTAAACTAAGAGCCTGATCACATGAACCCGGTAACAGGGATTCTGCGAGGCGTAAAATGATTTTAATTCATTGAAAGAGTTAAAGTTTTAAACGCAAAATTTAAAACCTTTCTTAAGCGTCGTAATTCATTTTAGTCGTAATTTTCAAATCAAGCTAAATTACTTGTCTTCATTTTATAGGTTTTGTGAATTTCCAAATTCATAGTACTTCAAAGGGGGGGAGCACATGTCCATTCATGCATCACCTCCCTTCTTTGCTGACGTCACTTTTGACTAATCTCTGTGTGTCTAGCAAAATGTTAATAGTTGTATACAAAAAAACCATTCTTTTTAAAAGTAAGAAAATTTGAAAAATAAGCAAATGTCAAACAGAGGAATAATGTGTTTTCATATAAAGGAGAAACGCGACCAATCTATTTTTGTGAAATGTTGAGTCATGCAACACAATGAGCTTTTAAAATTATACTTTTGATCATGTTTGTTTAACATTTTAAGGTTTACTTTTATTGCATCCTTTACTGTTGTATCTACAGTGTTTTTTTATTAAACATATAAATAATTACAATTTTTCGTAGCTGATGTTAAAAATGTACTCAAGACTTACAATGGTTTATTCAATAACAAAGTTTCTTTATAATAAGAACTGACTTATGCAAGAATGTACATGTATGGAATTTTTGATTAATTAAGGGAAAAATCCGTTCACAGTTTCGAAAATCGTGTCTTAATGATTGGCATTCAAATCCTGTCTTAGATAGGTGATTCTCTATTCCTGAGTTAAAACTTGTGAAACTTTATAAGATTTAGCAGTACTTCTTTGGAATTTGACTAATCTCAATGTTATTATGTACTCTGCATGAGGTTCTTATTTATGTATTTTATTTCTATAACAATTGTTTTTAGTCAGTGATGTATACTTAGTTATATAACAAGAATGTTCTACATAGATGTCATTAATTTATTTTTAATACTGTTTGTTGAAGGAGAACCTGACTCACTCTTCATCTTCGTTCGTTATTCAAATGTGTTAATGTAACAAAACTCACAAGGATAAAAGATAGATGTTACAGTAAGGTATGAATTATGATCATCATTTTTAATCTGATATGTATGTGGTCGCGTTGTTTATATTAAATCTCTCGTCCGTTTGTTAGGTATGTGACATATAAAGAACTAAAGCAAGCATAATTTTGTCGATACGGTCGTCATATATGAAGTTTTACTTGTGAAACATAGGTATTTATACAAAAATAAAGCGAGATTTTATGTCTACGTTACCGACCTAACAAATTAGCTAAAGAAACCTCAAGATGAAGTATGAATAAACATGCACGAGAAATCATATCTAAGTTGATATACCAACTATTTAATTATCGACCATACGCTGCATGGTTAAGGAACAGTAAAATCTGTTTAAAGTTGTGGGGAAGGCAGAATAACATGAGAATATTTTCTATATGTAAGATGCTGAATATTTTTTTGTAAACTGTAACTAACACTAGAATCAAGACAATATTGTTGTTAATGTAAAGTTACAAATAAAGTAGATGGTTTGAACCCGGGAGTATCGTTACATGTTTGTAAATGTCGATCGTCCAGGTTGGTATAATCCAGAGAATAACTGTGTTTGTTGTTGTTGACTGACGTTTCGACAACCTTAGCGGTAGTCATCTTCAGAGGTAAAAAAAAAATGACTTACGAACGCGTAATCTAGTACTACTTCTAACTCTTTATCGAAAATATACGAATCATTGCGATCTGGATATAAACTTGAACAATCAGTAATGATACTTATATTCTGTTGTTTTGTTTGTTGTTTGTTCATTTCCTTCTAATTTCATTTTCTGTATGTATCTAGTTGACATCTACGATCAATAATACGAAATGTTGCGGGTGCCAGAACTTTTATGATGCAGGAGTTATACAAACTTTACATGTCTATAGAAAACATTGGAATGCGTGAAAATTTATGTAGAGGGTGGGGGGACATGTCCAATTATGCATCACCTCCCTTCTTTGCCGACGCCACTTTTGACTAATCTCTGTGTCTTGAAAAGGTTGATGATTGTATTGTACAAACCATTTATTTTGAAAATAAGTAAATAAGCAAAATAACACAGGAAGAATGTATTTAAACAGAGGAAGAACGCGACCGAATCCATTTTTGTGAAATGCTCATTCATGCAACAAAGTGAGCTTTTAAAATTATATTTTGATCATGTTAGTTTAACATACTTTCATTGCAACCTTTACTGTTGTATCTACAGTGTCTTTATTGATCATAACTAAATATAATTGCGTGCAGTTGATGTTTAAAATGTATTCATGATTTACAAACTTTTAACTAAGATTTTTTATAATATGAATTGATTTATGCAAGAATATACATGTATGGAATTTTTGCTTAATCAAGGGGAAAATCCATTTACAGTTTAGAATATCGTGTCTTAATCTTTGACATTCGCATCCTGTCTTTAATAGGTGATTCTCTATTCCTGAGTTAAAACTTGTGAAACTTTGTAAAATTTAGCAGTAGTCCTTTGGAATTCGACATATCACAATTTTATTATGTACTCTGCATGAGGTTCTAATTTATGTATTTTTATTTCTATAACAAATGTTTTTAGTCAGTGATGTATACTTAGTTACAGAATAATATTGTTTGTTGAAGGAGATCCTGACTCACTTTTCATCTTCGTTTGTTATTTAAATGTGTTTATGTAACAAAACTCATATGGATAAAAAGTTGATGTTTCAATAATGTATGAATTAATTATGATTACTATTTTTTAACTGATATGTATGTAGTCGCGTTGTTTATATTAAATTTCTCATCTTTCGTTAGGTACGTAACATGTAAAGAAATAAAGCAAGCATAATTTTGTCTACACGATCGTCGTATATGAAGTCTTATTTCTAAAACAAAGGTAATTTTAGGTAAGTTAACCGAGATTTTGTATTTACATTTCTAACTTAACAAATTTGATACCGAAGCATTACGTAGTATGAAGTATGACTATAAACAAATCAATGTTTATTTCCATTCCAAATGAAAATCGTTTGAATGATTCTATAAGTGACTTTTAAAGCTATATTTAATACCACGACTGGAAAGTAGGTTTCATTTTTTGTTTCAAATTATCCACTATAAAAATTGCGGCTCTTACACGAAGAAAAGGTTTGATAATAAATAATTCTGAGTCAGTGATGCGCTTGACATTCACAGATGCCACGTCATAATGTGACATTTCTTTTTAAATAAATTAAACTTAAGTAAACAGTACAATGTATAAATGTAAACTAAAGATTATGTTCCTGGGGTCAAAATGAACACATGATAACGTATATATTTCATCATCAATCATTATTTTTTAATATAATTAAACTTAAGTAAACAATACAATGTATAAATGTAAAGGAAAGATAGGTTCCAGTGGTCAAAATGAACTCATGATAACGTACATATTTCATCATCATTCATTTTGCACGTAATTTATTCTTAGATGAACTTTAATTTAGCATGTACAGAGAAACTGAAATCAAGATACTTGTTTTGTTTTCCAACGTGTCTAACTGTTTTAGTTACTTGAATTAAATCGTGTAACAACACATAGTCGAGAAATTTCTCTGTCAGGCCAGGCCCGCCGTGAGGTGATAGGCAAGAGGGCATTTTGCCTTGAGTCTGTAGTATAATAGGGGCCGATGCCTCCCCAGTTGAACAAATGAAAATTTCGAAATTAAAGTTTATAGAAAAAGTAATGAATGATTTATGTATTATTTGTACTTTTCTTACGTTATCTCATCATGCAGAAGACATTCATCAATTTAAATTAGAAATTCTCGTAGCATCTTCAAACGGAATCACGCTTTAAGTGGGGAGAGGGGGGGCAGTTGTAGACGTCAAGTTATACTGTATTATAACAATAATATAATTTATCACTAGTTAGTTTTTGTGGGTAGCCGCTGTGCATGCACGGCTAACCACTATGCCATACTGAAAAAGTGTCTGAGTGAGGCAGTGAGGCAGGCAGTGTTTGTTCGTCGTGATATCCTCGGCTGTGTCATCGGTGATAGTCGCATATGTGAACGATCACGAATAGAATTGTTTTAAGTAAAGTCAATACTTATGTTGTTCTTTAATTACCTATGCTTTAGAGCGTATAATCTGCACTTTGTTTTAGTGACTATAGTCAAAACCTTGCAGCTGAAAATATCATTCATTTATATGCTTTACTGGTGATTACAGACGTCAAATATATCTCGTTTGGGCAAAAAATACAAGAAAGTTGATACTCGGTGCAGTCCGTACTTGTATTTTGTTCTGTATTTTATTCATATGTCGCGTTGTTTATCTCTCACCCTGTGTTCTGTGTTTTGGTGAGGAAAATGTAAAGCAGATAGGAGATAGTTTTCTTTATTTTCATTTCAATTAGTAATGATGACGATTTGGATTTAACAGATTGTCAAAAGAAGAATAATTCAAATATATGATTAAAATCAAGCTATGGTCCTATGGGAACTACTGCAGTTTAGCGACACCTTGGACGCTGACCCAAACCCTACCCTATAATCACAAGCAAAAAACGAGCCCGCGGTCACAAGCGCTTCGGGTGTCCGTTAAACTGCTGTGTAGCAAAAACTTAAATTGGAACAAAATCATCAGCAATATAGTCATATCAAAATGTTAATAAGGAAATATTCATACAACACAGCAAACCAGTTTGATATATCCTGTTAAAAGAACGATCTCTTCACCACACGATTGTTAGACAAATAAGATATATTATTTATTAACTAGGAGTTACTATTGAAGGTAGTTGTTGCCTCTCGCGCCGAGTAGGCGAAAATATTATTTTTTTTGTGTTTTTTCATTGTATCAAGTCTACTATTTTAATGCCTTGATGTAAGATCAATTACTGGGTCATGACAATTTTTATCGAGAGAAAGAAATGAAGCACACAAGTCTTTATAAATGACTTGTAGTACTGTTTTTACTTTATTAACTTTTTGAACATTTTGTAAATTTTAAATTATACCTTTTTAACAAACTCATTCCTAATTTCTAGAATAAGAAATGGCTTCGCCACCTAAAAGATTAAAGATTGAGGAAAATGGATCTCTGAGTAAACTTTTAATCAATAAAGGAACCCAAGCCTTAAAAACAGCATTGCAAATCATTATAAACCTTCAATCATCAAACTTAGAAGACAAACTTAATGATGCTTTTAACAGAAAGAAATTGGAATCATTAAAAAAGAAAAAAGTCGTCAACAAAGAGCAATGGAACCTTCTTTACCCTTCAAATAATACACCCGAAATTAGTAAGTTTGATATTTCATTATTGACTGTCTTATTGCGTAACATATGTGGTCTAACAGCGCCACATGGTGGATGGGATGATCCTTCCTCTTCAGATTCTTCAATCTCAGCAAGCATTGCAAGAATATTGTTTTATCGAAACAAAGTGTATGGCCACATAACTACAACTAGTGTAAATGACAGTGAGTTTGAGTACTTGTGGCAGGAAATTTCAAAAGCATTGGTTGGTCTGGGTATTCGACAAAATGAAATAGATGAATTAAAAGAAGCTTCCCTCAGTGACGATGAGGCAAATTATATTGAAATGATAAAAGAATGGTATAAAACAGAGGAGCAGTTACTCGATGTCACTGAAGAAATCAAAGAAGATGTGAAAGTAATAAAAAGAAATGTTGTAGAGATGAAACAAGAGATGGCAACCAAAGTTACGGACTTAAATGAGGATGTAAAGAAAACAAAAGCTGATGTGGCAGGAGTAAAAAAAATGTTACAGGAGAAAATATATTCAGATGTCGAAAAGCTTGGAAAGTGTAATTTCAACGGTCTTAAAAAAGATCTTAACAAGAAATACCTTGAAGGCACTAGACAATGGTTATTTAAAGAACTCGACACTTGGTTTAACGATAGAAGTGAAGATGCTTCTAATGTCATGATTTTGATTGCCGGTCCTGGTGTGGGTAAAAGTGTGTTTGCTGCTGAGGTGTGTCGACGATATTCTGAAAAGAAGAAACTTGCTGCTTCTCATTTCTGCAAATATAATCGATCAGATGAGAGGAATCCTCTAATGTTGTTAGAATCATTGGCTAGTAGCATGTGTGATACAATGTCAAATTTTAAATGTAAACTGAATGAAGAATTACAGAGAAACCATTCCTACAAATCAGTCACCGATGTATTCCGTGTTTTATTAAATAATCCATTGCATTCATTGGAAGATCATGAACCAATGCTTTTGGTTATTGATGCCTTAGATGAAAGCCAAGTTGATGGCAAAAGTGAATTGTTGGAATTGATTGCAAAGAGTTTGACCGACTGCCTAAATGGATTAAAATCTTCATCACCAGTCGTCCAGAACTTCCTGTTCAAAAGGAGTTGAAAGACATGAATCCTGTGGAAATTACAACTCATCCTCGTGAAGAAAACAACGAAGAAGACCTGCACAAGTATTTGAGACATCAGTTGAATGATCGGGTGCAGGAAGATCGCTACGTTCTGTTGTCATTAGTTAAAAATGTGAGGGATCATTTCTTTATGCGTATAACGCACAACTGAGCTTGAATAAAGAAAATATTGAGCTTACTTACGAAAACATTCAACAATTGGTCCCTAGTGGGTTAAGCGGTGTTTACACAAAGCAATTCAAAAGAGTAAAAGAATTGTTAACAAAGAAAAGTCGCAGAAATTCTGTTATCTCAGAAACTACTTTCATGCAATTTCTTGAATTGTTGGCTGCCTGTCGGGGTTTTTTACCATTAACTTTACTGCTTAGCTATTTAGGTTTTTCTGGTGACATCAAGTTTGAAATCCGCAGTAAAATCATTGAACTGTTATCTCAAATTTTGCCTGTTTACGATGATTGTTTAACCGTCTATCACAAATCTCTAATTGATTGGTTGAAATCAGATGGTTACAAACAGCACGAGTTTACAGTCAATCCAAAAAATGGTCATAAATTCTTATGGCATGCTTGTGAGAAAGTGTTTAAGCAAATTAAGTGTATGAACATTTTTAAAGATCCCATGAACACTGCGATGATTAAATATGCTTTGAAGAATGGAATCTATCAAATGTCAGAATGTGGCGAAAATGTTGACTTTAGCTGGGCAGTAGATGTCAAAGTGTTTTTTGCGAGGTTAATGTGTGTGAAAGACATTGACATGTATACCATTAGGTTTGAATTGCTTGAAATCATTAAGAAACTACAAAATTTCTTGGGAAAAGATGTACTTGAGGAACAACTATTTCATTTGTTAAGGGAGGTAACGATAATGAGATATAAGTCATTTAAGACTGATAAAAGCTTAATTTTTTTACAAAGTATTGCAAACAGAATTGATGGCAGTAACGAAAATGATTATTAGCAAGGATTTATTGAAACAAGGAAACTTTTCTTGGTTTGAGGATTTAGACTCAACATATTTAACAAACCATCATCATTTGACTGTCTCCTTGCGTGCTAACGTTACATCTCTTTGTGTGTCGTCCAATGAAGAACTTCTTGCTGTAGGATATGAAAATGGTCAAATATCTATTTTGAACTTCCAGAATTTACAGAAAGATGCATTCTCGGCACTGCACTTGATGATTCATCGTTGGATAAGTGGTATAATGTTAACTTAGTTATGTCCCTGTATGACATCTATGACTATTCAACATTAAAGGAATCTTATTTTGTACAAGGAAACATCAGTTGTTGCTCCTTTTCACCTACCGGAAATAGACTGGTAACTAGTGATAGATCTACTGAAGTAAAGTTGTGGGACGTTAACAATGGACGTTTGTTATTATGTTTACAGTCAGATGATGTCGTTAATCGTTGCTCTTTCTTAGATTCTGGTTTGTTCATTACAGCAGAATATGTAGAAAATGAGAACGACGATGATCTTGTCATGGACGAAGTGTTCACAGCATGGAATTCATTAACTTTGCAAAGAATCGATCGACGCTGCGTTGTTGATTACCAAAACTACAATGTACCGATAAATATTCCGAGTTCTTTGTTGCAGACTTCGTCAAGACTTCGTATGTTTTTCAATTTCCAAAGGCAATCGATATTTTTTCAACTAAAAGAAAATCCACCACGTTTACATTCAATAACACACCATTATCGTGATTGTATTTTTTATCATAAAAACCAGGTTGTAAAGCTTTCTGAAATCACTCAGTTGACAAAATACAACGATCAAGGACAAATCGAGTTTTGTTTACCAAATGTTGTGTGTCCATGTGTTCGTAGGTTTCTTGATAAAGTCCATCCCATCTCGTTTAAGGAATTTTACGTTGTGCCGTATTTTTCAAAGCTTAAAATTTTCAAAACTGATCATCTTTGGAGACCTTCATTTATCTTTGAGAAATTTGAAATTAAATGTTGTTGTTTTCACCGGATGGATCTTTTTGCTGCTTTCGCTGTTGGTGACCACGTCAACATTCATATTTGGAGCATTGAACGTTGCACTATTATTCAAACTGTACCAATGCAACTGAAGAATGCATTAGGATGTTGGTGGTCAGTTGGTTTACTGTGGATATGGGATGGTTCTGATCATCTTACGAAGATATCCACTTCGTCTAAAAATTTTGTAGATTCTACTCAAGCAAAGCAGGTAAACATTGGATTTAAACTTAAAGAAATTTTAACATTTGGTGATGTCTTAGTTTGTATTGATGAAGAAGAGTTTGTTCAAGTTGTTAGAATTACCAAGGGTGAGATACAATACAACAAAAGACTTCCTGTCGATAGTTTTCAAATTAAAGCAGCAGCTGTATCACCTGATAATTCTGTTATTTTAACTGTAAACAAAACAGAATACACATTATGGAAATGGAGAAATAACAAAAATGAACTTTACTTGAAAACTTGGTATACTGCAGAAATACCCAAGACAGCTGTCATTAAAAATTTGTTCAAGAACAGATAACTGTAAATGATCTAGAGTTCAACTGTTGTATATGTGATAGTAAACAAGCAGTCGTTACAGTTAAGATTTTGGATCGATTTCTGAGCTTTTTTATAATTAATATGAATGAAAACGATGATGTGAATGTGACTTTGTGTAAAGTCAAGGATCTTTTATATGGTGAAGACGTAATTGTACATAAATCGTATTGCATTGGTAAATCGTTTAGTGACGAATTGGCTGCTGTAGATTTGAAGAGTGGTGAAATATGTGCTGAATTTTACGGATTAAATTCTGAATTTAATATAACTATGCATTCCAACACAGATACTTTAGCTGTAGTAACAAATGTTGGATGCGGAATCAAATTTTTTAAACTCAATGTTCCTGAATGAATCCACTAACTCAACCTTTTTTTAGTTATATTAACCTATTGTATTTACTAACATTACATATCACTTAAAACGAACATAAAAAGTTCTTTATATCACAAAAGGACAGTTATTTATGGTATCAAGAACGAACTCAAAAATATAAGAAAAAATTGTCCATATCCTTTGTTTTAACCGTAGAAAAACTGTCAGTTTGTAATTATGTAAAAATATCACGGACGGAGAAAGAGATTATTTTTTTTTAATGTCAAGTAAGGATCTTTTTTATCCTATGATTCTCGTCAACTTTCAAATTTATATTTGGAGAATTCAACACTGTAACATTGTCAAAGTTGTGATGAAATTGAGAATATCACACGAAGATGTTGATTGTAGTAAGGATGGTCACTTGTTTTACATGTGAAAATTACCAAAAGTGAGAAACCTTTGATCGCTGAACGAACTTTATGTTGATGGTTTACTTTTTAATACAAATGTATGGTCAAATAATTTGGTTATTTTTATTATATATTAAACGTTCACTACATAGAAATGAAAGAATGTCGACAACTCATTCATTGTGAGTCATTTGACAATATGGTGTTGTAGATGAAGATTATTTTGTTTGAATTAAAGAGTGACTTTCTTTGAACATTCTTTCAAAAACTGTCAATAAAATTTACCTTACGTATGTTAATATCGTGGAAACAACTTTTGTATGATGTTAAAAATTCATATATTTAAAACACGATCATGATGTCATGTCATGTCATTGGGTTTTATGGTCATTAGTTGAAAAATGTGAGAGATCATTTTTGTACGTTTATTATGTACATATGACCTTAACGAAAGAACTTATTATATACTGTCAACAATTCCCGTATGTAAAAACATCATGATGTCATGTCAATAGCTATGATGAAAATAAATAAATAAAACTTTTACGATTTTCACATAAATTCATTTGAACTAAGGAATTGAATTTTTTTTGAGTAAAATTTTTTGATCAAAATATTGAAGAATGAAAAACTTTACTTTCTGTTTTCAATTTTAAAATAAAATTTATCATTATAATGTTGATGGTAATACAACGTACAATATATAGCTACAGTTTTAACTTGTAACAATTGTACACAACAATAAACGTTTTACTGATAATTTTGGAGATCCAGTTGCTTTAAACACTTTAATGTAACCGATTTTTCACGTTCTAAGTTTGGGTCATCTTATAAAAAACAGGTACGCATAGCGTACATTTTGTTGTCTTTAGATGACTAAAGTAAACATTGGAGTTCTTCAAAATAAACATGTTTTAGCATTTCGTGATGCATCTTCGGTATTGGTGACAATATTTTGTATATGATACAACATATATGGTAGTAATGTGAAACAGTGATAGTTAATTTAAATATAAGTAGAATATATGCAGTAAAATATTGACATGAATTAATGATAAATGTGTTTACAAGTTCTTCTCTAATTTAAAATTTTAAAATCTTAAGTTTTTATGTTTTTCTTACTTTACAAAATGGGAGAGAGCAGTATAACTAAGGACAGAGCAATAACATTAGGACAACCTCAGTAGATAAGATGCAGCTTTGTCACACTTTTGTCACAGAGCTCTTACCCGTGGCAGTTAGTATCCAGGCTTCGAAAGTGAACTAGTGCGCGCGCATGTCAACCGGAAATAAGGGTTAATAAACAAGGCATGGCATTGGATGGCGTGAAAATCTAAAATACGACAAAGCTGGAAGTTGCATGCTACTGACAAAGTAACATTAGATCCGACTTATTTTTTATTGGTTGATATACCGGATCTATGTCATTGTGTATTCATTCTTCAAACTATATAGTCGAACTGTCATTTTGGAAATGTTATTCGTATTGACCGTTGCTGTGTATCTTTTGGACATTTGTTCGCGGTGGTGGAAAAGAAAAAGGCATTATGGCACACTTGTTTGATCAGATGTATGCAGACATTTTTGAATTTGAAGAAGTTAGTCACAGTGATCTTATCAATTTGATTTTGGTCGAGTTTCTTCCGAACTTGAGGCAACTAAAGGAAGTCCGTGGAGTAATTCAGGCACCTTAATGACAGAAGAAGAAAAATGGTTTTGTTTTGCACAATGTACACTCGATGATTTCAACAGAGAACATGTATTAATTGAAGATATGATCTTCGTACTTTGCTGGACAATTTAAGCAATCGTCTCAGGTCCTGAAAAAATCAGGTGACTCAACGGGATTCGAACCCATGACCTCTGCGGTGCCGGTGCAGTGCTCTGACCAACTTAGCTATGAAGTCACACAGTGGTGAGCAGGTCAATATTGTTGGGCTCATGTTTTCTCGTGAAAGGAATGTCGTATAAATG